CCTCCTCCTCCTCCTCCTCCTCCTCCTCCTCCTCCTCCTCCTCCTCCCCCGTGCTGCTGCTCCTCCCCTCCTCCCCCTCCTCCCCTGTGGTCATTTTCCTGCTGCGCCCCTCCTCTTCTTCCTCCGCTCCCGCGCTCCCTCTTGTGTCCTCCCCTGCCACCTCCTCCCCCCGCGTGGAGCTCCTGCGGTAGAGCCCCCGCGGGGCTTCCGAACGTACTCCGGATTTCGTAATAAAGGGAGGGGGGTCTCATTTCGGGGGGGGGGTCTCTTCCAGGCTATCTTGGAGTGCCTGGGGGGGTCTGGGGACGATGTTTTGGAGGGTTCTCCCCCACGGGGGAGGTCTGAAATGGATTGTCTTGGAGGGTCCAGACCCCCTCCCTTTTATTACGAAATCTGGAGTAGCTTTCCCGCCGCGCACCCCCCCCCCTTCAGTGCGTCCGCGGCGGTGGCGGCGGTGCCCACGCCCGCGAGCGCGGACGACGGCGCCGCCGAGCAGCCCGCAGACTCGTCCGCCGAGCCCGCCACGCCCGCCGCGGTCGCTGCCGACGCTCCCGCCGCAGCGCTTGCCGCTGGCACGGAGGCGCGGCGCTTGGTGCGGGCTCGGGGGGTGGCTGGTGGGCGGCGGTGGGAGCCCTCCTCGTGCTGGTCCTCGTCTTCCCCGCTCCCCCCCTAACGTTCTTGCTCCTCCCTCCTCTCAGCCCCCCTCCTACTTCCTCCATCTTCCTCATTCGAATATGCATCTGTAGCGCACCTCCAGAGCGCATGCATCTGATATAGTGAAACAGATCCGCTGTATCGCCGCCGTGCTTTCGTACCTTGTACCGGCCATAAGCCACCGCAGTTTTCGTTTGCAGCGGAACTGGAGGCGCCCCCACCTCGCGATCCATGGAAGACGCGCAAAGTGCGATGTGGACGCACATTCGCATGTCCACCACCCCCCGCATTGTTTCCACCCTTGACATTCTGATAAGCTTGTGCTTATGTTTATGCTGCACGCGTCACGATTATTCGGCCACACCACCCACAAGCGCGACCAACGCCAACGACCGCAAGTGACCGTGTGAGCGTACCGTCTTTTGGGGGATCGGTGGCCTGGTGCAGGGGTAAGTAGACCCAGCGAGGCAGCGATGCCTCGGCCCCTCACCACAACAAATTTCCAGCAGTGGCAGTGGGGCGTCCTCGCTAGACCGCACAAGTGGGCCAGTGTTTGGGTTCCGGCTGCGCGCGCTAGTGGTGGCCTGCGTCTAAGAGAGCACGCTGCGCGGTCCTAGTGGCTTCCGGCCGCTTCATGTAAGTGTTCAACCACTTTTGCACACCATCACGGGTTCCAGTGCTACCACGAGTTCGGTGGCAAATGGTGGGAGCTTTCTTTTTCACCCAATGGTGTCTTGCTTCCTGCTTCGTGATCATTTGATGTGTATAAGTGTTGTTTAGTGTTGCGTAGCGTTGCTCGTGCACGTCGGTCGGTGCGCGCGCGCGGCATCGCAGTTGTGCGAGCAATTCCAGATTCCTAAGATCGGCCGCGACCTTTTTCAAAGTTCCTTTCTTCCTGTCCCTCCCGCAGGCGAACTCAATTGCATTACGTTGTATTAAGCGCAACTAAATTGCACTAGATTGCACTGGTGTGGGGCGCACTAAACGCCACTAAGTTGCACTCAAGTGCACTCGATTGCACTAGAACGCTGAGCGCCACGAAACTGCACTAGACGCCACTAAATTGCATTAGATTGCATTAAATTGCACTAGCGTCTCCCGCCGCGCCACATTAAACGCGACTCAATTGCGCTACATTGCACTAGTGTGGGGCGCACCACACGCAACTAATTTGCACTAAGTTGCACTAGCTTGCGCTAGACGCCACTAAATTACACTACGCGCCATTAAATTACACTACATTGCATTAGATTGCACTCGCGCCTCCCGCCGCGCCACACTAAACGCCATTAAATTGCGCTAAATTGCACTAGTGTGGGGCGTAGGCGACGCTAAGTTCGACAAGCGAAGTTCCCATCATATGCCCCGAGTGTCAAGATGGTGATCGCCCTTGTGCAGCTTCGAGTCTCAAGGCGCCTGCGCTGCAATCGCGACATTTTTTCTGATGGCTCCCATATTGGTAGTATTGGATTTTTTGTTGCGAATGTGTAAGATGTCTGGAGGAGCTGGACATGGTGAAGTCGGTGGCAAGGGCGGCAGCGCATTCCGCCAGCCACATTCCTGGACATCCGAACCAGAATCAGCCTACCCGTCCCGCCATGGGGTGCAGGACCTACTCGCCTGGAACGTACTCGCCACCGACATGGACAGCGTCCAGCAGTGTGCCGCCATCATCCTTGCAAAATTCGGTTGCGCCGATGGCGAACTTACGAGTTCGATGAAGTTCACGGAGATGACATATGGAGGATTGGTCAGCGAAGAACCGTAAGACTCCGTCACAGACCTCATCGCGAGCTTCGCGACCCAGCATGGACCATGTGGTGAAGAGTCACGCCTGCAGGCTTCCCGCGATCTCTTCGAGTTCACGGGGCGACGCATCAAGACCATGGATGCACTGCTCTCGCGGGTTCTCACAATGAAATTCCGAGGAACGCACAGCGGCGGAGCCGCTCTGCCATGGGAAGGTTATAGCTGGCTGCCCCTTCCGAGCGGTCGTCGCTACCGCTAACCAGTTCGCGACGTGTCTTCACCCCTGCGGCGGCCAATATCCAGCAGAAGAGCGCGAATTGAGTCGTCTCTTGACAGTGCTCAGGCGAGTTGGTCGCATCGTGGAGCGAGAGCCTTAGCGCGTCGCCAACGCCCTTCGTGCGCCGCCATCTTTCGAAGGCTTCGCGGGCGTGGCCGACGACTTTGGTCGCGACTTTGGTCGCCGCGGGCTGCTAGCGCTGCCGAACTCCCAGGTGCTGGAGGTGCCTGCGCGCGGGCTCGCAGCTCTCAGGAGCGCGCCGCGCCGCCGCAGGCCGCGTGTCCTGCCGCCGCGAGGCCGCGCGGGTATGCCAGCGGCGCCAGTTCTGACGCCAGTTCAGACTTCGGAAAAGCGACCGACGATTCGTCGGATCAGTTCAGATGCCCATCCCCAGCCCAGATCAGCACCTGGTTGTTCGGGCAGATGGAACGTCGCAAGCGCATGTGACGTCGCCGCGTGAACGAGGCCGCCAGAAAAATCAGAAGGCTCACCGAGAAGAATTGATTTTCGTCCCCTGGCTCAGGTAAGGGCAGAGGCGAGAGCGTTCAGAAATGCAGCCCCCTTGCCGAGCTTGCTGACCGACGACCAGGTTGACGACGTCTGCTTCGGGGGCAGCGGCGACGGCGAAGACGCAGGCGAGGGTTCCTGCGGCAGAGGCAAGGGCCGCAATACAAACCCCCGGGGGTGCGACGGGGCAGCGAGGGCGCGCGGCATCCGCGGATTGGCGCTCCCCTTGAGCAGAGTTTCCACGGGCTGGCTCTGCGGGCTCAGGCGCCCGAGGAGGCGGGCCAAGTTTCGGAGGCTGCGCCGATTCGGTTCCCGCCAGTGGCGCCCTGGATGCCGTGCTTGTTGCTGGCGTCTCAGGTCTTGCATCCGTTCGCAGTCAGGATCCCCTCCGGCCGCAGCCAGGGCCAGGCCTCTCCTCGGCGCAGCCTGCTACCGAGGGCTCTTGGCCGATGTCAGAGTTGTTTCGTCCCTCCAGGTCTGCTGCGTCGCTGGCCGCAGTCCAGAGCCGCGCGTGCGCCGCCGCGCCCGCCGCGCTGCCGGCGCTTGAGATATCCAGCTTCGCCGCGCCACCTCGGGGCCACAACTGTCAGTGCTGCCGCCGTTCGCTGGCGCCGCCCCCGCGGCCTCGGAGCTGGCGGCGTCGTCGCCGGGCCCATCGCGCCCAGGGGCCCGCGCAGCTTCTAGGGCGTCGGTTCCACGGGGCCCCCGCGAGCCAGCCGCCGTGGACTGGCCGCGGTGCGCGGGGGCCTCCGTTCACCCGGCGGCGCAGTGGGCGGCCCCCGACGACCGGCGAGCCATCGCTCCGCATTTTGGCGGATTTAGCAGATTATTTAGGCTTTGGCAGTGCCAGCTTGGGTTATTCGCCGCGCCTGTCAGGCTGCGAATTCGTGGTTATGCGCTCCGCGCCGGGGTGCCGACCGCAGCTATCAGAACCGACGTCGCGCGCGACTTCGCCCCTGAGATCACGGCGCGACGCGCTGCCCTCGCAAACTGCCAGACAGTCACCACCCGCCAAGCCACCCCAATCCAACCCGAAGCCTTCAATTTGCCATCCATTTCCATTGGGGGGGGAGGGTCGGGGAACGTCAAAAAAAACACATGGAACCCGTGCCCCCCCCAACCCGAAATTGGAGTCAAATTCGGGTCTTCGGGTTGGGTTGGGGTGGTCTGGTAGGTAGTCAGACAGAGCGCGACGCGCAGATGGACCTGCGCCGCGCTCGCGGCCGCGGGCGGGCCCGGCATATGATCGACGTGGTCGTGTCTGGGCCGCCGACGGCGGCTCCGCCGCATATGCCCGAGGATCTACGAGCCAGAGTGGAAGTCGCTGGCGTGGGGGTGGATGGAGACGCTATATGCGGTATATGCTGCGTTGGATCTATGTGTTATTCTTCAGTGTGGTCGTCAGTTTCAGAGCTGCGCCGACGCCTGGGCCGCCGCGAGTTCGGGCATCTTTCGGCATGGGGCTGTTGAGGCCCACCGGCGAGGCGACCGCATTTGAGCGCCATTCTCGCAGTGCCCGACGTGCAGGCGGCAACTGCTGGCGCGGGAAGTTGCGCGCGCGCGTCCACGTTGCTGTCGCGCCTCGCCCAGCAATGTCTGCGGACGAAGCGCCAACTGCACGTCGGGGAGCTCAAATGCAAGAGCTTCCTTGCAGCGTGCCAGCATCCGCGTGGGGACAGCAGTCGCCGCGTGGCTCGCCGCGGGGTGGTGGGGCTTGTGCCCCAACGCATGCCTGGTGGCCCGCCTACGGTCCCGCCGCCGAGTGCGCCGCCCAGGTGTGCCGCGGCCGTGCTCTGCTGACCGCTGAGCTCAGCGTGATCCTTGGCCCAGGTGCTTGGGCTAACCTCACGGGGGAGACGCTCGCGCGTCGGACGCCCCGACGCGCGATGCATGGCGCGAGCCGCGGCGACTCCGCATGAAGGGGGCATTGCGTCCGAGGTGTCGGCAAGGGGGCGCAAGAGTGCGCACGTCAGATGAGCGACCCCGCGGCCGTCGCAGATGGCCGGGGCCGCGCCGCGCCCCGCAGTTTCGCGGGGCCCATCGCGGGAGGTTCAGTCCGCAAGCTACCTGGGCTATCGGGTTTGCGGAGTGCGAAGCCAATGCGCGCAATCGCGGACATTGGCTGCCGCGAGTTGATTCACCTGGTGGGTGCAAATGCAATGGCTGGCGGGCGCAGTCCGCATCCGTCTGCCAAGAGCACCGCGCCGACGCCTCGTCGTGGTCATCGACGCCTTCGAGAGGGCTGTGCAGTCAATCGGCGGAGCCCCAGACCGCTCGGCGCAACAGTGCGCTCGCGCCTGCGAGAGAGACGGAGGCCGAGGGCAACGCGCCGTCGGCAGCTGCTGCCTCCGCTGCGGAGGCTGAGCAGCGGTCCGCCCTCGGCGCCCAATGAG